TAACAGAAGCACACAATGGTTACTATAGGACACTCCTTCGGAATAAAAAGCATGTGTCTTTTAGAGTATCCCCTGTTAATTCAACTTAATCGATTTTACAGCGTCATTCGCTGCGTATACACTTGCTCTTGGGGTTTATGAGCAAGTTATGTGGAATATGTTTTACTGCACGCATGCGTTGTTTATGTATACCTGCAGTCATAGCTTCTAAAACAGGCAGAGTCCGTCTAAAAAACACGATACCTCTCACATGCTAAGTCTAAGTCCCTGTTTAAATTTTCGCCGAAAAAAATTTGTGAACGCATTAGCTGACTCACATCCCCCTCTAAATGAGATCGTGAAAAGAAAATTATTTCTGCTGCTAGATAAAAAGTCAAGGCGACCCGCGATGGCAGGCTTCACAGTATGCGAAGCAAGTCTTTAGCCTGGGTTTTAGTCTATCCCTGTCAGGATAAATTCTGGCAGTTCATTTAAGGCTGCATCTAAGTCATACGTTCGATGAAAGTGGTTTCTGCCACTTACTTCCCTTCTTCTTCTTCTAAATTTGTTTGCTGAACTTTACTTTCCTTTCAAGCCATTTGTCAATGAGTAAATCTCGCGTATTATGCCGAATTGAGAGTAGGTGCAAAATGTACACCTGCTAGAGTACACGAAAGGAAACGGCTTTTATCGAACAAATTAGGAATCTTGCCACTAAATGGGACTATTTAGCATGCTTAAATTTCAGTAAAGGTTGAAATCGTGTTGAGACTTTCTTTTGTACAATAATCGTGAAAATCTTTTGGGACAATCGCAACAAAATGATCGCAGAAAGAACTTACGTAGCGCTAAGACGTTGAACAATTAGTTTCATATTAGTAATTGCCCACGGGTTCTGCATGCAAACTTGCACTCGCATTCACAAGTTTTTGTTGATGTACACCTTAGGTAGACGGATATGAGCTTTTAAATGGTATCACATGGATGAGGCAAAGTACAAATTTCACTTTTCAATAAAAGTCCTTTCGAGAAATTGACACACTTTTTCAGCACAATATTATTCCCCACCAACGAAACGATTCTACGTTCAATTTTTTTTCTTTTCCTACAGCTCTCTCCGTGTTATTTTTTGTTTGCTACCTTTAGAAATATTTTAATGTCTTTATTCTTCTGTATTTATTATTCTGTTTATGCCCGACAGCGTAATATTTAACTTCAGGCAGCCATAGTTAATGTTAACTTCACCGATAATTAACTGACTCCGGTTTAAACTTAAGCCGCGCCAGTAACTGGAGTTTAGGTGTCTTTGACTGACGACAACGAGTAAGCTAGAACCAACCTTTCCGTTTCTTCTATCTTTGCCGGCACTCTTTTCTGTTCGCGCGCAAGTAAGTCACCATGTACCATCTCGACTGAACTGTGAACCCCAGTTCCTGGACAGAAAGGAAATGTCTTTTTCCGTCCCGCGACCAAGATTAATGTTTTCATCGCATTCTCATCCGACGAAACACACGTATTAGAAATTGCTGCGGCTGAGTATAAACAGCAGGTGTTATCGTTATTATTACTGCGCGCACTCTGGATAGGAGACCTAAAACGAAGAATCAAATCTAATGAACACTTTCATTTTAATAATGACGGCGAAATTAACTCAGTATGTACCTGCATATTTTCGGAAGCCGAGAATTATGCCTTACTAAACGCTTGGTGTGCATTGAAGACCGATTAAAATCTCCATAAGTAAATCAATACATGAATGCGGTAAATGCTAACTTACGGTACGGCTTCCACATTTCTACACAAGGGGCTCATTCGTGAACGACGCTAGATAGACGTAATAAAAGCTTTGTTAGTGGTCACAGGGCCTTTTTTCAAGATCTCAACGTCTGCATGGTGTTAACGTCGTGTTGGTATGAGCAACCATTCGCATTGGGACTAATCGGTGGACTGTCGTGGTCATGATTATCCCATTAACATAGAATTCAAAACTTAGGTCAGCGCCTCAATAATTTCGGCACACACAGCGGTATTATGAAGGAAATAAGTTTCACTTAAATGCGCATTCGATTCCTCGAAACCAGAACACCGCGCATCCTCAGCTCACTCTATAAAAGTAGGAAATCCTTCAAAAGATCACCGTGAGATATCATTGTTCGGTTATACAGTCCGATTTTTCAGAGGCGATGGAAGCACTTGGAAGTCATGAGGAGCAGGTATCAGAACGTATTGAAAAGATCGCATCCCAACCTTCTGAAAACACCCGCATGAAAGCACAGATGATGAAGTTCTCGACTGTGGGTAAAAAGTATCAGTGATTTGCATTTTAAGACAAAGCAACTTTGCCAGACTTCAGACTCAGATACGTTGAGAGAAAAGACCTCGATGATAATGTCCATCGCAGAAAGTTGCAAACGGACAGAGTTCATTAATACAAAAATAATGCGCGATAAATGTCGTTTACACAGGTCTGACAACTCTCAAAAGAGAAATTATTAATGCATCTGTATTAGCGTGAAATACATTGAGCATTTCTTTTGAGTAATTTCAACCGCACCCTAGTTTTATACGCCTATAAAGTAAGTCCTAAAAACATTCGATCGACTTTTAGAACTATTATTTCAACTTCAATTTCTCACCATAAAGGGATTGTCACGCTTTGATAAAAACAAGGGAAGCGTTTGTACTACCGTTGTGGGCCTTAACGGTG